TCCCTCCAACTGCACTTACACAGCTAAACTACTGTTTCATTGCAGAATAAACTCAAGTCTGCTTTGGAGCCTCTACAGAAGAATCTGAAAGTCTTGAAGAAAGCTAAACAAGACTATGACCAAACAGCGGCTCACATTAAGGTGAAACATCATCTTGAATTGTGAAACATGTTGCTGAGGTCATGTTTCTGATGAGTGTCCACTTCTCCTGTAGGTGGTAAATGCTTGTAGATCATCTGTTAGAGTTTGTGTTTCCTAATGGTCTCTCATTCCAGACGCAGGCCCAGCACACAGAGAGGCAGATAAAGGAGGAGTTTGAGAAGCTTCACCAGTTTCTAAGAGATGAAGAAGCAGCAAGGATAGCTGCACTGAAGGAGGAAGAGGAGCAGAAGAGTCAGATGATGAGGAGGAAGATTGAGGAGATGAATGGAGAAATATCATCTCTTTCAGACACAATCAGACACATAGAGAAGGAAATGGAAGCTGAGGACGTTCTGTTCTTACAGGTAATAGTTGCTTCGCCCACATACAGAATTGTTTTGCTGTTTTATGTCTTTATTGCATTGATCATTTCACCATGGCAAATCTCTATTTTCTAATGAAGTTTTCAAATCTCCAGAAAAAGAATGGATAATTAAATATTATAAATCCCCTGAATTTGCACATTAGCATTTGTATTTGTTGTATTTTGTTCTCTGTAATCATATATTCTCTATGATAAACTTTAAATAAGTAGTATTTTCCCTCTCAGAACATCAAGGCCGCAATGAAATGGTAAGTGTATATATTATTTACCTTTGTATTGAATACTTATTATAAGTTAATTAATAGACATGCATAGAATTATACTATATACTATCATTAATATTTATACTCTACACACTATTTTCAGGGTGCAGTGCACACCCACGATTCCAGACGTGGCATCAGGCATTCAGATTAATGTTAAAAAACACCCTTTCCAACTTGACCGTGGTGGATGTTCTTCTGCACAGTAAGTTTTTATACTGTTCTGCATACAAAGGGTTTATCAAGGACCACTGCATTCAACGGGTAAAAGTCAAAGACAACTTTACTGTCATCCCCTCTCACCATAGGCATGTGTTAATTGTGGAACAAAATATAGTTCCTCTAAAACACTGTGCTACAGATCAGAGCAGCAGACAGCAGTACCTATAGACAAAAAATAAAAACATATGATAAACTGTCCAGCAATTGTATACAGAACAGCAGAAACTAAACAGCAGACAGTGGACAACAGAATGGAAGAAAAATAAACAACAGTGAGTCCATTGATCATAAGCATATGTACCTTCTGCTCTTTTAACATTGGCACACTTGGTATCAGGAAAAAAATGTCTTGCGATCAATTATTTCTTCTTCACATTGAAAATATGAGAGAAATCTAGCCTAGAAATCTAGTAATTGAAGTAGATTTAGTTCAAGATAGCAAAAAACCCTGAAAACACCCATGTCTACTGTTAAGGCAATAATGAAGTTTAAAACAACTGGAGCTGTAGTGAACCTGAATGAAAGAAGAAACATGTTTATTTTATTCCCAAGCTCAGTAAGGAGGGTGGCTAGAGAAGCAAAAAAAAGATTTGAAGAAGGGGGTCACAAGCATTTTGGGTTCACCAAGCATTTTGCCACACCCATGGCAACAAATGATTTGGCTGGCATGCCAGAAGAAAGCTTTTTCTTGCATCTAACCACAATTGTGTCAGGAGTTCATTGGATCTCAAATCTCATCAAGTGTCATATGAGAAGACTCAGAGCTATTCTGTCGGAAAACAGGATGCGCAAAGTACTAAATGATTATTACACATCTGGATTTGTAACATTTTTTTTTCTAAATATACATTTTCATCATCTAAAGATTATTTTTTTTTTGTCACACCTCTATTAGTTTCTGCCCCCTCCCTGCCTTGTAATCCCTCCAGCTAGTCACTGGTGTCTATATTTTGTTTCCCTCAGCTAGCATTCAAGTTTTTCAATATAATTTTCTTTGACATTTGAAAATAACAAGCTAAAAAAACACAAATTAAATTATTCAAATATTTTCTTTGTCTGGCTGTAAGCTTTGGTATAAATCAGGGGTCGGCAACCCAAATGTTAAGAAGAGCCACTTTGTCCTTTCAACAAAAATCAAACCACCTTGGGAGCCTCAACAATTTATGTCCATTTTACCATCTTGGCTGTAAATATGTCTCAGTATGTGCTGACGTACTAGTATAGGATAAGAATATAATATAAACTAAAACGTAGACCTACTTTGCTCTGCCTTAAGCTTTAGCTCAGCTATAGGTGCTTTTCTCGCATCTCCAGCAGGAAACTTTTTCTCAAAAGTAGAATAGTTTCTCAATGTCTCCCAACTTTTGACTTTTTTACGAGGCTGAAGTCGCTTTTCTTTCACCATTCGGCGTCAGAATGTACCTGCTGCACCATTTAAGGTGGAATGGGAAAATTCAAGAAAATTTTAGAAGCTGGCAAATGAGAAACTGACTTCAGCTTTGTGACTTTTTAGCATTTGACAGTTTCTCATTGCAGATTAAACGTACCAGGAAACCAGCTGGAGTGATTATAAATGCAAATAAGTTCATTTATCTCCAAATCATCAATGTTCGTCTTAAATCTTTCTCTTTGCCTTTTCATTAGCTACTAGTTACGCAAGACTGTCTGCGTTGCTGTGTGACCAGCAGTCTGCACGCCAACCTTCAGGGTTAAAGGGTGAATTGGCAGCTATGCATTAACTAGAGCGTTTAAGACCATTTATTGTGACAACTGTGTTGAATGATCAGCAGAGCTTTATGTTACTGCAAAGGAGGATTATTTTATTTTTACCAAAAAGTCTAATTCTGCTGTGGAGCTGCAACAGGGCAGTAAAAGAGCCACATGTGGCTCCGGAGCTGGATGTTGCCGACCCCTGGTACAAAGCAAGAATGTTTTTTTTTGTTTGTTTGTTTGTTTTTTTTTTTGCTTTAGCATGCTAACTTGTATCAGCAGTCATCATTAGCAGATGGAAGATTGCTACCTCAAACCCAATGTGAACATAGAAAATCGAAATGCATGCTTTTTGAATATGAAGTATTTTAGTTTGGTTTTTTGCTATGGTTCAGAAACAGCTTACACCAAAGGGAAATATTTCAGCTCACAATGATTTCTGGGCAAATTCTGCTGCTGAAGCCGATACTGCTGAAGTCACTTGGTCCATCGCCCCATTGAGGGCTCATCTAGCCCTCTTCACTTGAGCTAATAAGATGATTCTGAGGGGAAATAGTGAGGCCAAGTGAGTGAGGCCTTCTTAAAACCAATCTTAAAATGGGCAGGTAGGTTTAAAAAAATAATGAATTTGAAAAAAGCCCTCCATGCACTGCCTTCTTAAATTACCTTAAAATCCTTAGTTTACCTTAAAGTGATGGAGACACCCCATCAACTTCTAACCCTTAACTTCAGTCTTTTACAGAATTTCACACTAGTTGATAAGGCCAAAAGAGGTTTTAATTCATAATGAGTTTTGGCTACAAAAACATGCTCATCAACGCTAGGTTACATCTGACCTGTTTGTATGTTTTGCACACACATAAGAAACTCAAAACCTGGGACGCTGAGGTTGGAGACACTGATGACTGGGCAGTGGGTGTTATAACAGAGTCTGCCCTGGAAAAGGGAGACGTTGTCTGGGATGCAGTGTGCGGTCTGGCCTATAGTAAAAGAAGAAATAAATATTTGGTACGTAATCCAGGACAGCCAGATCGCTATTTCACACCGAAAAAGAAACCACAGAAGATCAGTGTGCAGCTGGACTGGGACGTGGGCAAAGTGACATTCAGTGATGTCCTAACCAGTACCCACCTGCACACTATAAAGCACAGTTTTACTGAGAGGATGTTCCCATTTTACTACAATGGGTCTGATTGTCCACTGAGGATCATAAAGATAGCAGAAAATGATTGTCTGCTGTTATAAATGCTACCAAAGTGGTTTAAAAGCAAAGCTTTACACTACAATCATTAACAATAGAATAACACTTTCCGTAATGCTGTCTTTAAACGCTAGCTTTAGTCTGTTCCATGTGAAATGTGCAATGCTGCATGCAAGAGCCAGTAATTTCCAGAATAGGGTAATAATATTGTGTTAAATGTTATAAGTCTTATGTACCTGTACATGCTATTGGCTTCCCTGCTTTAACACACTTGACTCATCTCTTCAGCTAAATAACAAGCCTTTTATGATGTTAAACTAGGTTAATAAACACAATGTAGGACCAGGATTGGAAAACCTCGACATAACAAAATGCCCAGCAGACGTACCCAAAAAATGAATAAACACTTGCGCAGGACCTGGTAGACCACCACAGCTTCAGATCTGAGAAAAATCACAGTTGTTTCTGTCCATCCTTCCACTGTGAAAAGACAACGCAGCACTATAAGTCTGAAAGGATGTGTAAAAGAAATCAAATGAAAATCAAAGAAAGAAGCTGCTGATGTTTTCAGAAAAAGAGTCCAGACATCAACATCACTGAATGTGTTTGAGATTATGTGAAATGTGAGAAGCAGAAGATGCTTCTAAGACTGAACTTTGGAAAATATTTGAATATTTTTTGAAGATTCTCCAGGATAGAACAAAAGCTGTAATAAAAGCAAAGGATGAATACACTAAACACTGGGAGTTTTGATATCAAATGAAGTTGTTGAGTTATTTTTGTCAAATGTTTTTGTCTGCTAATGCTAAAAAAGGAACAAATCGACAGTTTTGACTGGTAATAAAATACATTATGTGTAATCTTTGAATTTTCTACAGTACAGTATGAATTATATAAATGATGTTTTCTGCAACATATTGTTCTAGTTTAGCATGTTGAAACACTATATTAACCCATAGCATCATGTAAAGCTCATCAAGCAGATAAAATAGAGGAGATCTGTCTGGAGTAGTGACCCACACACATAGAGAGAGACAGACTGACCCAACACACACACAAACACTGGACACTTTGGAGCTGAATGGAGCTCTGCTATCAACACCTGCATGATTACACAAGTGTTTTTGGGGCAGATGGGTCACAGTCACTCTGTGGAGATGATTTAAATACATAAAGGAGACATTCTGAAGATCTGAACTGCTGAACTGACCATAAAACAATCTGACTAAAAAGTCTAAAACATCTCCACTGTAAAACCGTTATGTGCAAGTGTTAAGGGGTCATTGCTGTTAATTGGCTTTTGATTTGCTTGTTAAGACTCAGGCATTGCCATTTACATGTACATAGTGTTTCTTGAACTTTGTATGCTCTTCTTGTTCAAAACATAATAAAATTATATTTCTATTGAAAGGGCTTCAAGGAATTTTATCACCTAAAATTGTATGCAAAATTTTAGCCACACTGGCCAAAATCTACTTTGTTGATTTTTGAAGTAAAAAGAAGTAAACACAACCACTGAAGGGAACTATTGTGGTGTTGATCAGTCAAAGTGTCAGGTTAGAACAGAATTTCTGATCGAGAATGCTCATTTTTATTCAGGACAAGGCGGAAATGCCACATCATAGACACAGAAATAGCAGGGAGGTCACCACCCACCACCCATACACTCCCACTTCACAGTTAAAGCACTAACTCACACAACCAAACCCACACTTCAACACTGAATGACACAAGTAACACATAACACAACTCACACTACAAATAAATCCAACAACAGCAATAACAGTCACTGTTTAAGGGAAGCACAGCCAGTGGTAAAGCGCCACAATATGTTATTTTATATTTGATTTACTCAAAAAATATAAAATACACACTTAAAAATGATGGTTTTTCAGGGATTCTTTAGAAATGAAAATGGTTCTATACAGAACCATGAACGTTCAAAGAACTTTTCGCATTAAAGAGTTCTTTGCATCGTGAAAGGGTTCCGCAGACTGATGGAAAATGTGCTGTAGATGGTTCTATATATAAGCTTTTTGAAAAGGGTTCTATATAGCACCAAAAAGAAAATTACACCTTGTCAACTGTTAAATATGGGGGGTGTCTTATGAATACTTCCAGAAATACCAGTTTATGTATTTCTGCTATTCAATTATGAAATAACATTTGCAAACAAATAAATAAATAAATAACAATCCTGCAGAGACTGTGTTTACTTATCTTAATAGATCCACAAAACATGTTATTTGGCAAGGGTAGCCAAGGGTTTTTGTACAAATGTACATAACACTGCATATACTAGGAGATTCTTGCTACTTAATGATGCTATTGTATCGATTTCAACCCTGATTTCCTTGATTCATGTATTTGGGATAAACTTTATGTTCCATTTTATTACTTTTAGAGGAGAAAAAAAAATATGTGGAATGTAAATGCATGATAATAATAATAATAATAATTATAATAATACAATAAAACAAATTCTATACTAAGCCTATAAACTAGATATAATAGTTAGAAGAACTTTTGGCTAAGAAGTGTGAGATGGGTGAATTCTGGTGTCCTCAAGTTGAGTTAACCCAAGTAAATAAATGCAATCAGTTACCTTGACTTTAGGTTGAGCTGATTTCTGGTTTTATACATTATGCCAATTTATGCTACACGGTGGCACAGTTTCTCATAAATGCATAAACTGTGGACAGCTCAAGTGTATAATTTGGGTATATATACATATATTTAATACTGTGTCTCATTAACTTTACATAGTCCACTGTACTGGCCACTGTACTGGTGTTGTAGATATGGTTTCTCTGTACACTTTTTAGAACAATAATCTCTCATATGTACAAGATAACACATAAATAAACAGAAGACAGTTTAGTTTGGGAAAGTATGTCATTTTCTGGAATCTCTATAAATTGTACTCCGATGATCCGCAGTTTTCATAAAGCATGCTTGTATTGTGAGCTAATGTGTTCAAAAACATTTCCATCCTTGTTATCCGTACGTTCTACATCATTATGAAGGTTATGCTAAGCAATACACAGATTAACCCTATTCTGCTTTTACTGATACTTTCATGGGTAAGATCCTCAGGGGACACAGTAAACTCATATTATTGAAAAATGGTAAAACTCTCTGAGTAAACGTGTGTGTTATAGTGTGCAGGTGTGTGTTGGTTAGAAGATCAGTGAAGGTCACTTTCCCCCTGTCCCAGTCCAGCTGCACTCTGACCCTCTGCAGCTTCTCTGTAGGTGTGAGGATGTGATCCGGCTGTCCAGGGCAGTGTACCAAATATGTATCACTGCTTTGATGGTAGTACAGACTAAACATCAAACCCAGGAAAGAAAATCCTTTTCTCGGTGCAGAGTCTCTGACCACACCCAGTTCCCAGTTTTCACTGTCTCCAACCTGGACGTCCCAGCAGTGTGTCCCCGAGTTGAACCCCTCAGAACCCAGAACACACACGAAAGTATCAAATCTCTCTGGATTATCAGGAAGTGATGGTTTCTTTTTTCTAAATTCCACAGTAGTGAGATCTTCAGACATGTAGAGGGCTGGATGTGCAGTGTTGGGGTTCAGAGTAACAGGGGCTGAGGAGAGAGAACACAACATCATGTTCAGCGTTTTTCCACAGTACATCATTAGACTTCGAAATAAAACTAGAGAATTTCTAGCCTTAATGTAATTCTTAATCTAATATCCTGTTATCATTTTACCTTCATGTATACATTATGTCCATCTCATGCAAAGAAATCAAACCATAGATGTCCATAAATTATGTGTAATAATGAGAAATGACACAGGGAAAAAGTATTGAACACGCTTACTGAAACTGATTTAATACTTCGTACAAAAGCCTTTGTTGGTGATGACAGCTTCAAAACGCCTCCTGTATGGAGAAACTAGTCGCTTGCATTGCTCAGGTGTGATTTTGGCCCATTCTTCCACACAAACACTCTTCAAATCCTCAAGGTTCTGTGGGCTTCTTCTATGAACTCTGAGCTTTAGTTCCTCCCATAGATTTTCAATTGGATTCAGGTCAGGTGATTGGCTGGGCCATTCTAGCAGCTTTATTTTCTTTCTCTGAAACCAATTGAGAGTTACCTTGGCTGTGTGTTTGGGATCATTGTCTTGCTGATATGTCCACTCTCGTTTCATCTTCATCATCCTGGTAGATGGCAGCAGATTTTTATCAAGAATGTCTCAGTACATTTGTCCATTCATCCTTCCTTCATTTATATGAAGTGTGCCAGTGCCATATGCTGAAAAGCAGCCCCACACCATGATGTTCCCACCTCCAAACTTCACTGTTGGTATGGTGTTTTTGGGGTGATATGCAGTGCCTTTTGACCTCCAAACATGGTGTGTATTATGGCATCCAAAGAGTTCAATTTTGGTCTCATGTGACCAGACTACATTCTCACAGTATTTCACAGGCTTGTCTACGTGTTGTTGAGCAAACTTTAAACACACTTCAGCATGCTTTTTCTTCAGCAATGGAGTCTTGTGTGGTGAGCGTGCATACAGGCCATGGCGGTTGAGTGCATTACTTATTGTTTTCTTTGAAACAATTGTACCTGCTGATTCCAGGTCGTTCTGTAGCTCTCCACAAGTGGTCCAACTGGTTTTACCCATCATGAGATGTTTCTTGTGTGGCACCTTGGTAATGAGACACCTTTTTATAGGCCATCAGTTGAACCAGCTGATATTAATTTGCACTAAGTGGCAGGATTGCTTTCTAATTACTGATAGATTTCAGCTGATGTCATGACTTTCCATGGCTTTTTGCACCTCTCTTTCCTCATGTGCTCAATACGTTTTCCCTGTGTCATTTCTCATTATTACACATAATTTATGGACATCTATGGTTTGATTTCTTTGCATGTGTGGATTGGATGGGTTGTTACCGACATCTGGTGAGAATTTCATGTCAATAGCATCTTTAGAAATATATTTACTTAGAAAATTGGTGATGTGTTCAATACTTATTTCACCCGCTGTATCTGTTGACTGTGCTGCTGTGTTTTGTACTTCTGTAAAGTACAAAATACAGAGATACAAAGATTTGGCTTCAGTGGATTCCTCCTGAAGTGTTTTTAGAAAGAGGAATTCCATTAAAGGGGAAGTTACAGATTTAAGTTAATCGTTGCGATAGAAGTCATTGCAAGTGGTTTTATGTGGAATGATTCATTTTATTTACTGACCAAAACCACCAGTGAATCTATTTGTGTCTTCTAAGTTTTATATGTAACACTGATGATGGTCAAATAGTGGTAAACCTGAACAAAGAAAAGTTTTCTTTGTGGACTGTTTTAACTGTTTTAACGCCCTGCATGTATCTCTTCAGTATGAAAGGATTAAAAATTTATGTTTCAGTCCAAAAGCTTTTCAAACATATCATAAAACAGTGTCACACACATGAAGACTTGTAACCACTTCATGTAATAGCTTTCTGTGAGGCATTTAATGCTTCAGATCTCTGGTTTCTATAAAAACTGTTACAAACTATCACTAACAGATTATGGCTCAGTTATTCTGAAGAACATAGTTTAAGTATTACTAATTAGGTATCCCCATTTTTTTTTTTAAATCCATGGAAACTAGAAACTGGTCACTTTTGTTCCACTGACAGATTTTCATGATTTTATATAGAAAAAGAGCTTTAAAATTAAACCGTGCAGAATCAGCCAACAGTGCAGAATCTAAATCATATCTAGACCAAATGTGCTTGAGATGTTATTGAAAGCATTACTATGATTATTTATGATATATTTATAGTCAATTATCTATGATGATTTCCATAAGCGTCACGTTTTATTCAGCATGTTGGGTGATGATGGGTCAGCTCAGGTTTCAGTTTCAGACAGAATGTTCTTGAGCTCGAAGCTACATCATACGATGTGGTTCGGGCTGGGTTCGGAAAGAAAGTTCCTGGGTAGTATTTGGGATTGGACCATCATTTAAGGCCAGATTAAACCTCTACTCTCACTGACCAAGTCCGGTAGTAAATACTGATTGTGCTGATTTCTGGCACCATTATTTGTTCTCAGAAACAAAAGAGAAAAAGTTTTTTTTAAACAAATTTATATGTATGAATGCCAGACATCACTTTATTCTGAATTTGAAAAAGAAATGAAACAAATTAAAAGGAATGAATTAAATCTACTCCAGAACTTACTGTACTGGAGAATCTCCTGCATGTTCTCCCACACTCTGAACTTCAGGTTGGAAACATGTTTAGCAACATTGATCAGAGCTCCTGATGTCTCCTCTGGATCCTTTGGTGTGAAATGAGCTCTGGAAATATAAGAACGTGCAATTCATCACTGAATAAAGTTTACATTGTCAGTTTTTCTGTTGCTCCTGTAAAATACATACTTTTTACTACTACTGCTAGCATCACCACTACTGCTACCTCACTGCTTGTTATTATAATGAATCGTCTTTCTCATTTCTACAGATAGTTCTTTAAGCGTTCTTAAGTTAAGGCAAAGATTCTATTTAGAACCATGATTCTATATAGAACCATTTCATGATTAAAATATAGGACCAAAACTGTTACAAGCTTGCCAGAAATCATTTTCAAAAACGTTCTATTTAGAACCATATGCAGCACATAGTCCATCCATCTGAAGAACTGTTTCCCCATGCAAAGAGTAATTTAAACATGAAATGGTTCTATATAGAACTTTGAGCTACACGTTTACACGCATTCTAAAGTCTTGATTTATTAGCAATACATTCATTTTGTAATACACCATGTTGGAGAATAAAACAAAAATGAGTGATGTGACTTTTACTTACTGTTTTTCTGTGTACATGAAATTCTGAAAGGAGAAATAAAGAAAACATTGAACTGAAGTTGCTTTCCAAGTGCATTTCAGAACTAAAACGGAGACACATTTTGATTTCTCAAAATGAGAGGCAGTGGTGTCTCAAAAGTATTAGTGCCCTTTTTTATGAGCCTGAATGCTCAATATGTAGCTCCGCAAAAACTGAGTATAAACGTAAAACTGTCCCTGGTGGGCAGATAGAGTCTGTAAGTTAAAACGTATTACTGATGTATTCTAGAGCCTATAGCAGTTTCACTGAGGTATTAGTGAGTAATTTGGTTACGTAAATCCACTCTCATTTTCTGTGAACACTACATTGCTCAAGTATTTTTGTTCATAGCCATATAATTTACATTAGTAAGCTTATTTTCATATCGATATTGTCGGAACAAAACCTCTCCATTTTTGTCGTTTTTCGCTTTTTGAAAATGCCTGTTGTCCTTTACATTGTGTGTAAATTTCATGATGAATGGACCAAAAGAAATGACCCAAAATTACTTGGACACATTAAAAGTAAAGTGTTTTTTCCTTCTCTTGTAAAGTTACCATTTTGGAGATACAAGGTTTTGTTTTCCGACAGCAGCGATATACTGATTCCAGAAGTTTCCCCACAAAGTACCTCAGCTCCTGCCCTCCTCCTGCTGAAGTCTGTGCATGTCATTCCCACCACGCATATAAAATAGCATCGGGGATTAATATGATTGTCTTCATTACAGTGTTCCAGATTTTCTCCAAAACATTTCACCTGACTGCTCTTTCCTGAAACAAACTCTTGACTGTGATAATTTGGTTTGCTGACATTTGTTTGATGTGACAGCTGTGATGTTGATGTGACAGACTTCCAAGTAAAATGTTGGAACATCAAAACAACTCTTGTCAAACAATATAAACTGAAAGAAATTGTATCTAACATTTTATTCATGCGCTGTCACTTAACAGACTTGAATCATTAGCCATTTTTTCAGTTCAGACTTTATTGTGTTTATTTATTGTGTTTGTGTGTCTGTAACAGAGAGAGCTTTTCTTACCTGTAAGAACGGAATGTCCTCAGCTTCCATTTCCTTCTCTAGGTTTCTGATTTTATCAGAAAGAGCTGATATTTCTCCATTAATCTCCCTAATCCATCTCTTCATCATCTGACTCTTCTGCTCCTCTTCCTCCTTCAGTGCAGCTATCCTTGCTGCTTCTTCATCTCTTAGAAACTGGTGAAGCTTCTCAAACTCCTTCTTTATCTGCCTCTCTGTGTGCTGGGCCTCCGTCTGGAATGAGAGACCATTAGGAAACACAAACTCTAACAGATGATCTACAAGCATTTACCACCTACAGGAAAAGTGGACACTCATCAGAAACATGACCTTAGAACCATGTTTCACAATCCGAGATGATGTTTCACCTTAATGTGAGCTGCTGTTTGGTCATAGTCTTGTTTAGTTTCTATTAAGACCTTCAGATTCTTCTGTAGAGGCACCAAAGCAGACTTGAGTTTATTCTGAAAAGAAATAACAGTTTAGGTGTATGTAGTCTCTCTTATAGTGGGTAGTATGGCCACCAATTACCCAGTATAATGTATGAATTTATATATTTTGTTGACTTTTAAAGTAAAAAAAAGAAGTTAACAAAAAACATTTTAATGCAAATGTTTGTGCTCTGTTACTTTATATTTGCTTATAAAATGGCAGTTATAGGACATAATGTAAGCACTCTGGCCAGGGATGTCTAAGCTTTTGCAAACAACTGCATGGATATATATTTTTTTTCAATAAACCCATTTTAGATGGTCACGTAAACCTATTTTTGAAGGATAGAATGACTTATACTTCTGCAATGTCCATTTACTTTAAATAAAAACCCATAATTAGCAACTTTTTAATTGTAATAATATGCAATAATTGTAAATATTGCAATGTGGAGGGTTCTCACAAGAAAGATCCATAATTCAGCTTTACTCAACTCAGAAAACAGTGTACAGAAAGATTTCACTCTCTCTCACTTGCTACAACAACACACCACCCTGGCAGTTCTTAGCCCCACCCTTCAGAATAAGAGTCCACAGCAAAATTAACCCAGTGAATAAAAGCAAAACATGTTCTGCAACTTAACAAAACTAACATGTGAAAACATTAAACACACTACTTACTGCCTTTTTTAAATGAAAGAACACCTGCATGCTCTTATGCCACAATATTTATATTGCAGAAAACAGTAAAAACATATACATAAACCTGTGCTGCATAAGCACAAGCATGCAGTGGCTTCTGCAGGCCCAACAAAAACGCTGCTAAATGTTGTTTCTGAAGTCATCCTTGTATTTTTGAGCATCCAGCACTGCTACACATTGGTACAATACTACAAGTCATCCATGCTGTCAGTATGAACTAGTCCTCATATTGGTTGTGTGGACCAGGCCCTGAGACTGTGATGTGTGCAGCTGAACTAGAGTGGTGATCTAGTGGGCACTGCGAGAGGAAACAGCAGCCTGGTAAGTAGGCTGACTAAATGCTTACCCCAAGAGACTGGCACTTCTTTTCATATTCCTCTCAGGACAAAGTGGACTCCCTCAGACTGCAACTGACTACAAAGCGGGAGGTGACTAAAGGACTGCTGAGTATTCGTTTCACTGAAACTTGACTGAAACATCCCTGACTCAACTAAACAGGCTAACATTAGCGTGCTGTTGCCGGTTGTTACGTCCAGTGTTTGATTGTATCTCTTTGTGTCTGAATGTTTTCAGGTTGGTGTTGCTGCATGATTGACGTCCCACTTTTCACAGCATGTGATTGGCTGTTCCTGTTGGCGCCAGCTATGAAAGGCCTTTGATGTTAGACAGTGTGGAGCCTAGCACTACTCTGCTCCCCTGGCTGCCCACCAGTCAACAGACCAGTTTTGTTAGCAGTGATTTGCAGGCCTACAGGCACACGTGGGTCAGCGAAAGTACTTTTGTAAATTTTTGATGTCCTTTAAAATAAAGGAAACATAGGGGTGGCCTGCCCTTTTTACTTTTTTGTTTGACCTGTTGCGCTTTGTTTTTTGTAGTGTATGGTGGGTAGTGATTTTGTAATGTTCTTTATTTATTTATTTTTTTTGGTAGATTAGTTTTTTTTTAAGGATCTTTAATTTAAGGTTTTTAATTTTGGGCCTTGGGCCTCCCCGAAGTTAAGTTTCCTTTTTGTTTCCTTAAATTTTGTCTTATGTTTATATATATTACATAATCATGATGGCTGGATAAAAGTGCAGATAAATATAAAATAAATTATCCAATAAATTATTAAATCTCCATTTGACATGTTTGTTATTATTAGCTATTAACTAGAAATTCCTCTTTGTTCTGGTCTGCCGTCTGACCAGGCAGTCTCGCTTCCTTATTGTTGCGTCTTACCCCTAGGAGATGTTACACCAGTATAAAGTTATGGCAAAGTTCCATCCTTAGGTAGAATTTTGATCAGTATACTGGATGAACTGGCATACCAACAATCATTAAATTGAACTATACAAATGTGAGGGTCTCACAGAGAGAAAAGAATGGCGGCTTTACAGTCTGTCCAAATATGGTGGCCTTTCATTAACGTCAAAGGCGAGGTTAGGCTCTCAATATATTAATAATTAATAATATCTCTATAGTTCACTCTTATTTTTGCCCTTTGCTCTGAAAGCACACCCACTGAAATACTTTGTCCTCAATACAACTTAACAGGGCAATCTAAAAAGCAGTTGAGACAGTTTACACTGTTCATAAACAAATACTAGAGCACATATCATACCTTAGAGTCATACACAGCTTCATCAACTGGACAGCAGCGGTGATTTTTATGAGTGTTTGACAGGTGACACACCACACACACAGCCTGCTGATCATCCAGACAGAAGAGTTTGAGTTTCTCATTGTGCAGACTGCAGAGCACCTCAGTCTCTGCTGAAGCTGAAGCTGAAATTGAGGCTGTCTGGTTCTGGTTCTGGTTCTGGCTCTCTAGAAAAGCCTCACACACGTTCTTCAGGGCGAGGTTACGGGGAGGGTTCGCTTTGGAGAATCTTTTCCTACAAACTGGACATTCTCGAGATCCTTTAGATTTCCAGAACTTCTTTACGCAGGTTCTACACACGCTGTGGCTGCATGACAGAACAACAGGATCCCTGAAGATGTCACAGCACACACAGCATATGAGATCATCCTCTATCAGTGCGCTTGTAGAAGCCATTTTCTCCAACAGCTGCTGGTCTCTCCTTCGTCTTCTAACGGCTTCTTCGTCGAAGACGTCACTTTCAGTTCCGCGTCCACACTCAGTGCCTGTGGTCCTTTAGAAAGACTGTAAACAACAGTTTATCAGCGGCTCTCAGGCAGGACGAGGCGGCCTGAGGGCGGATCTGCAGTGACAGTGTGAGTTTCGGTTTCGTTCCGGAAGTAGGGAGGGGAGGAGGAGGGGCTTTGGAAACAGAAGATCTGAGCATGCGCAGAACTCTAACTTGAGTCCGCTGAACGTTCTTGATACACAAACTGAGACCAGACTAACATTCAGCACCCAGTGTTTTTCCTGTATGTGAACACTAAAAAAAAACATAAACACTCTTTACAAAGAGGTCTTATAACATTTCTGGACATAAGAAAAAAATAATTAAGAAAAGAATATTTTTTTTTTCCCTTTGCAATTTCTGTTATATTTTATTTTCTTATAGTTCATTTAATTTCCTATATACTCTAACTGCTATTATACTATTTCAGTATTTGTATTAATAGCATGTATTACTATCTGAATAATCAATGGGTAAATGTGGTTAGTACGTAATAATGTTTGAATAATGTTTACTAATAATTCAGTGTTTGTTTTTTTAATACACTGGATGTTATAGGATATTATACAGGGTGTCCCAAAAAAAATGACATCATTTCGTAGTCTAATAACATCGCCAGTTCTTCCACAAATGATCTCATATTTTAACAAGATGTGCAAAAACTAACCAAGTTTAATTTTGTTTTGTTAATTTTTTTAATTTTTTTTTCAGGTTGGCGTTCACTAGAAATGAAAAGGCATTTTGTGTGTTAGAATATGCTCGAACACAGTCAAACAAGAGCGTGCAGCGCTCATTTTCGAGAAAATTCAATACAAATGCACCAACTGGAAAGCAGATTTGGACATGGCACCAAAAATTCAAAGAGGCAGGAGCTGGACTACCGACTTGACGTGTGTCGTGTCACATATTGAACAGCTTTGTGAAATCTGTTATAAAATCTACATCCCTCTGTATTTCTTGTTTGAAATTTGATAAATAATTATTGTATTGTTCAACATGAAGCCTGTTTAATTTTGTTTGCCTCAGACATGTAGTTACTCAGATATTCACACCTCAAATGATGTCAATTTTTTTGGGACACCCTGTATATTATATCACTGCTGTCGGACAAAAACCTTGTATCTCCATTTTTGTCATTTTTAGTTTTTGACATAGTTTGAAAGTACCCCTGGTTCTATACATTGTATATAAATTTCAAGATGAATGGACCAAAAGAAACGGCTCAAAATGACTTGGAATAAAAGTCTCCTTCTCCTGTACAGTTACCATTTTGGAAATAGGAGGTTTTCTTCTGACAACAGCGATATATTGGTTTACATCAGATATTATAAAAAGCCTCTTAATTCCAAAAAGAGAGAGAGAAAGAAATGTTCTATATTTTACTTGGTAACCAAACAGGGTGATCTGAAATGAATAATAACCATCCATTTTAAAGCTCATCACTTCAGCATGATGAATTCTGCTTTGTAAAACTCTTGGTATCTATATGGGAAATTAAATGTGGTGCCTACTGCATGTGGCTTCAGCACAGACCTTACAGCACTTACATACAGATTATAAACTGACCTCACTATATGCACGCCCAAAGAGGCCGGACAAACATGGAGCAATCCTACTATACTTTAAATTCTACATTTTGCTGGTGTATATATTCTCTGTGCTGTAGATTCTGTACTTGGTGTAACATACAAAAATAACATGGTGTAGAAAACCACTCATGTAAATCCACTGGCTCTGTGTAGCAGCTGTGACAGAATACAGGAGTACTAGGGATGTACTTTCAGGCGAGTGTTGTGATAGGCTCAGTCTATCAATAGTCGACCTCAGATATAATGATGGTAAAAGGGGTGAGTGTCCCATTTCCCTATTTTCCACTCATTCTTACACTCATTTCCATTCCTCTTGCTCCTTTCCTTTCCTCGATTCCTTTATGTGCTTCCAAGGTAGTAGAAGAGCAGTAGAATAGAAGGGGGAGAGCAGGAGCAGTAGCTTTCTGCATGCATGATAAGACATATTTATGGTTCACTGGCAACTGCAGGCTAAAGGTTGAATGCAGCAAAGATGGCAAACAGCTTATCACGCTTATCATCACAAGCTCACTGAAATCTCCACTGCGACCAGGTGTGCACACACCAAGAGGGGCATATCAAAGCATGTGGCCCCAGGTGAGCGCCCAGCAGTGAGTGAGGAGTGAGTGCCCAGCAGTGTTTGTGTTGACTGGAACTGTGCACGCACCCAGGGACTTGCCTCAAGCTGGGAGGTCGCTCGGATGGTCGACCTTTAAATGGGGGGCTAAGGTAGTGACCCGAGACTGGCTCTTGCTGCCTTTGAGAAGGTCAGGAGGTGTGGCCATGCAAGAAGCCATGCACATGGTAGGTGTGTAGCCTTCTGAAAAGGGACCTAATGTTGTTCATGTCATTGTTCATGGGTGTTTTGTGTTGGGGGTTGGTCATCTGTGTTTTGAAGCTGATTTGTGTTGAATGCTTTGTATGCGCCTTTCTGCCCTGGTGTTTAATAAAGAGCACTTCTCATGGCCGAAATTATACCCCCCCGGCCTTGAGTCTTACTCTACATAATAACAATACACATCTTATTGGAAGAAACATTAATGTCTACAGTGCTTGCTTTTTGTGTCGCAAGAATAGCTAGTAGACAAAAATGACAATTATGTGCACCTCCCTTTCCAAGGCTCCTCCTCCACTACACAGTCTCTCTGAAAGAAACACATACTATCATTCTGCTGATTCTGGTTCATTCTATCATACCTTACCAAAGAGGCAATGATAAATACTCTAACATAACAAGTCTGATTTTTAACCGTTTTTCTGAAGGCATCTGAAGACAGTGAGATAAAGGACCACAGTGAGTGATTCTGAACAGTGCTGCTGAGGTCAGTACAGAAATCCAAGGAGAAAGGAGAAGCCATTAGAAGAAGAGACCAATAGCTGCTGAAGAAAATGACATCTACAATGTCTCTACGAGAGGAGGATCTTTTATGCTGTGTGTGCTCTGAAATCTTCAGGGATCCTGTTCTACTGTCGTGCAGCCACAGTGTGTGTAAAACCTGTCTGCAGCAGTTCTGGAAAAGTAAAGGATTTCGAGAATGTCCAGTGTGTAAAAGAAGATCCTCAAGAGAAGAGCCTCCACTTAACGGGATACTGAAGAGCCTTTGTGAGTCTTTTCTAGAGAGCAGGAGTCAGAGATCTTCAGCAGGGTCTGAGGTGCTCTGCAGTCTGCACAATGAGAAACTCAAACTCTTCTGTCTGGATGATCAACAGCATGTTTGTGTGGTGTGTCAGGGTTCAAAAACACATCAAAATCACCACTTCTGTCCAGCAGATGAAGCTGTGACTAACCTCAAGGTAGGAAACTTTATTTATTGATTTTTTTATTATCCATCCATCATTGCCAAGCTGTGATGTCCAGTTCCGTTTTCTCTGAGTACCAGATTTTCCTGTTTAAGCATGTTGGACAGGTTAGTCTGTCACTGGGTGTGTCGCCAGAGCAAAGGGCGCACATACCTTAATAAGTGTTAATCAGAGAGTCATCAGAATGATCAAATTAGGATAACTGTCTGCTTTGGATTCACTGTGTAAGCAGAAATGAAATATTTGTTCCTCATAGCCAAACATGTAGAAACCTTAGCCTCCATTTGACACCAAAAGGCCAAACCACATTCATATTGTTCAAATACTGCAGAAGATGGAGAACGCTCTCAGCTAAACTGTTGTTTAATTCCAGAATAAACTCAAGACTGCTTTGGAGCCTCTACAGAAGAATCTGAAAGTCTTAGAGGAAGCTAAACAAGACTATGACCAAACAGCAGCTCACATTAAGGTGAAACATCATCTTGAACTGTGAAACATGTTTCTGAGGTCATGTTTCTGATGAGTGTCCACTTCTCCTGTAGGTGGTAAATGCTTGTAGATCATCTGTTAGAGTTTGTGTTTCCTAATGGTCTCTCATTCCAGACGCAGGCCCAGCACACAGAGAGGCAGATAAAGGAGGAGTTTGAGAAGCTTCACCAGTTTCTAAGAGATGAAGAAGCAGCAAGGATAGCTGCACTGAAGGAGGAAGAGGAGCAGAAGAGTCAGATGATGAGGAGGAAGATTGAGGAGATGAATGGAGAAATATCATCTCTTTCAGACACAATCAGAAACATAGAGAAGGAAATGGACGCTGAGGACGTTCTGTTCTTACAGGTAAGACTTACTTTACTCTCTCTCTCTAAAATAAATGTACTAGTGTTAATGGAGAAGACCACTATAAAGACCTTCTAGTGTTCAGAATAACCCAGTATCTGATTTTGTCCTCTTTTACGTGTGTAATGGTAAAGATATATCCATAGCCATGTAACTATCACATTATTGTTTCAGAACATCAAATCCACAATGACACAGTGAGTCAATGTCTTTATTTCATTTTACAATAAGACATTAGCATTAACAGTTTTGGTGGTGGTGGTGGTCACAAAAAATAGGAAATACTAAAATGACTGGCTTACAGAGGCCCTGAAGAAACATGTGATATAATTTTTATGGTGAGCTCCAGATACTATCAGGTGAGCACCAGATACAATGTGGTGAGCACCCGATATTATCAAAAAAGAGTATCACATCTGTATCTGGTGCTCACCTGACAGTATCGGGTGCTCAACACACAGTACCTGGTGCTTACCTGATAGGACTGGATGCTTACCTGATGGTACCGGATGCTCACCACATAGTATCTGCTGCTCACCTGATAGTATCACATGGTATCTGGTGCCCACCTGATAGTATCAGGTGCTTGCCACATAGTATCTGGTGCTCACTATATAGTATCGGGTGCCAACCACATATTATCTGGTGCTCACCACATAACACTGCGTGCAAATCTAATTGTATGGAGTGCTCACTACAGTATTGTGTGCTCAGCTGATAGTATCGGGTGTTTATCTGGTAGTATCGGGCGCTCGCCACATACTATCAGTGCTCATCTGATAGTATCGGCTCACCAGATTTTTACCTAAAAATACACCACATGTCACTTTAGGGGAAAAATATATATACATATTTTCAGTATTTTCATATTTCAATATGATCAGAACTCAGTGCACACCAAAGGATCC